TCCTCTATGCGAGGCCCTTGAGGTGCAGCAAGGAGGACATTTGTGGCTGGGAAAGCATTCCCAATCCTCCACCCTGACTTCACCTTTCCTCACCACCACATGATCTCTGTACTGTGCTGGGTGGCTGCAACTCCCCCTGCCCTCCTTCCCTTCATTGCATTCATTATAATGCACCCTTTGCTAATAAAGCCCCAGAACTGGACATGGTTTCCCTGTGGTTGGTCTCTGTGTGCTCTCCAGGGCAGTGAGGTGGGAACAGAGCAGGGCCCAGGACCCTTTTCCAGGTCAAATCTTTATGATTTCCCTGGCCCTCCCCTTTCCAGAGGGTTAGTGTAATGCAGGGGTTGGTGCTAAACCTGGGAAGAAGGAGGTGGTCACGCTTGGGGCAGGTGAGTCTCTTTTCTGGGTGAAATGGGGTAGGAAGGGTGAAGGAGGTGCAGCCTGTGGCAGGGTGGGGAAAGTGTGAAGACATCTTCCACGTGAAATGCAGCACGTTGTAATCTTCCATTGTGAATATTGATGCTCCCGTGCCAGTGCCAAAGCCATTTGGCTCCATGGTTGCCCTGGAGGGGCTACTCCAAGAGGATAACCCGTCACTGAGCACACTCTCATTCCCCTTCCCTGTAACTGTCTTTTCTGCTGATCCCTCCCAGTGTATAAAACCACCCCCACTTTTTCTGTATTACAATTTTTTAGAAAATAACCTTGTGCAGAGAAGTTGGGTGCAGAAGCCAGGGACAAGGGAAGCAGAAGGTTTGCCAGGGGCAGAAATCAGAGCCAAAAATCAAACCAGAGTCACAAGCAGGGAACTGGGATCATAGTTTCTAGGGTCAGAAGGGACCTGAACAGATCATCAAGTGCGACCCCCTGCCATGGCAGGAATGAGTGCTGGGATCATAATACCCCAGGCAGATAGCTATCCAACCTCCTCTCAGATGCTGCCAAGGGTCTTACTGCTGCCTAGGGTCTAACCGGAGCCAGGAGCTGGAGTCAGAGCCAGGGGCCAAAACCAGAAGAGCAGCAAAGAAGCACATGAAGGTAAGAGCAAGAGCTGTTGGCTTTGCCCGGACAAGGAGGCTGCGGGCTGGGCCTGGCTTTTAAGCCCTAGAGCCGGAGGGGCTGTCGCTTGTGGCTTCGGGGAACTGGCTGCCCCGATAGCCTCACTCTGCTCAGCTGGGACCAGGGCAGTACTCCGGGTTTAATGCACGTGGTAGTCCTGGGGGTGTCATAGCCTGGGTCCAGGGATCTAGCCTGGCCTCGTTGCACAGGGGGCCAAACACAACGGACACCCTGCGTTAAATGATCTTAAAACACATAGTTGCAGCAAACCCATGCCAACGGCTGCAAGCCCTTGTGGTGGCCCTGCTCCTGTGGGGATGGCTGAACTGTGTCTGGGGCAAGAGAGAGACCGACGGACTGAGGAGGCGTTGTGGAGGCTGAGAAAGTGCGGGAGCTGATGCACTGCCAACATGGATTCAATTAAAGCTACAAGGGATCCGATCTGATCCCAACAGTGGCTCTATCGCTGGTGCAGAAGGAGCTGGGGGCAGCCAGTAGCAAGCTGGGTGCCGGTGCTGACCGGCACTCCCCACCAACATGTTCAATATCCCGGTGCCGGCGTCCAGCCACAAAGTTGTTACACAGATTTTGTGCAGTAACAATGTTGTGGCTGCTTCCACTTCCCTGGGGGAACATGGGCCCAGTTACCACTTAGGACAGGTTCATGCATCCTAAATGCAAGGTCTGGGGGCCTGAGACCAGGATGCAGCAGGAGACCCTGAGCATTCATTGAGTGTGCTCTCGTGACACCCAGTGGGCACCAGCAAGCCGTGCCCTGGCCTTGTAGGACCTCTCAGCACCCGGGTAGTGCAGGGGGGCAGGTGGGAGTGCACAGAGGACCCCGCGTCCCAGTTCAGACGGGGTAACAGACTGGATGTGCCCAGGCTGCTGTGGGGATGTGCCCTGAGCTTGGCCAGGAGGATGCTGGAGACAAGCACCCAGTCCCTTACTGGGAGTGCTGGTGCGAGGCCTGAGCTCCCCGAGGAGCTGCGTGCGCGCGGCAGGGCCCTCCACGGGCAGCGCTGGGGGCACCGGGGGGCGAGCGGCACCAGACACAAGGGGGACGAGCGCGCCTGCACCCCGGGGTGCCCTCGGCGCAGAGCCACGGACCGAGACAACCCCCACGGAGGGCCAGAGCCAGGAGATGCCCACGGGCCGCGACACCGGGCACAACTGGGCTTGGGGTTTGTTTTTTTAAAAAAGCCATTCTCATTTTCAGGGAGTTGCAGGATTTTTGGAGCTTTTTCATTTCAAGGTCGCTGATTTGGGGCTGTTTTGTGACCCGGGCCTGCACAAAAAAGATGGGCCCATGGTAGGACCCGGCGAGGAGGGGCTGCGGGGCTGCGCTCTTCCCCCACCGTGCCCCCGCCAGCCTCAACTCCCCCCGCTGTGAAATGGGTCGGGCTTGTTTTGGAAAGCACAACGGCGTCTGCTTCTCGCGAGACTTGGCAACTGCCCAAGGGGGGTGTGCAGGGGGGGTCTATTTAGGGGGTGGGGAGGAGGTGGGCACAGTGCGGGGAGGTGGAGCTGTGCAGGGCTGGAGCTGCCCGGTGCTGGCCGGACCCCGCAGGGGCAGGTGCTGGGGCTGGCGGTGCCGGAGCAGTCCCTGCCACCCCGGCCCAGGAGCAGGGCGTGGGGGCTGTGAAGAAATCCCCCTCCCTCCCCTCCCTGGGGCCGAGCCGGGTGCCCCCTTCACCCGTCTCCTTTGCTGCCCCGGCTGCATGACCTCCCCCGGGGAGGGGACCCTGCTCTCGTCCTCCGGCCACGTTTGGAAACAGCAGCAAGTGCAGCCCAGGCTCCGGCTGGATGCGTCTTTGTAAGTAGAAACTGGTTCCTCCACTGGACCTGTCTCCAAGCCCAAGCCCTGTGAAGGCTCAGTTCATTTAGGTAACTCCCTTTGTTCCCCCCACTCCCTCGAGCCATAAAGGTGTGGAGCACAGCCTGCCTGGCTGTTTCTTTGTGTAAGCAGGGCAGGGAGAGGCCTTTATTGCTCCCGCGCCTGGGCCAGCTACCTTGGGCTTGGCTTTGTTTTCCTCTGGTGCCGCAGGCTTTCTTTGCATGCTTCAGGCTGCAGGAAGCACCCCAAAATACTACCGTGGACAAAACACACCCAAGGCTTGCAGGCTGTACTTAGCCCAGATTGCACAAAGCCCATAGGTGACGGGTAGTGGGGACATGGGTCCCACCTGAGATGGGGCTCTCTTAGGGCCCCCCACAAATTGTGCCCCACCAGATACAGGAGCCACCAGTCGCCCATGACAGAGCCCTGCCAGAGACCAGTGCCCAGGTGGTGGGAGCGTTACCCCAGGCTTGTGGGTGCTCACCAGGAAGGAAGACAGCTGGCCGTAGGCACCCCTGGGGAGACTCCTAAAGCGTGGGCTACCAAAGGCAGAGCGCGGAGACCTGCGCCACGGCTGTGGCCTGGTCCAGGGCTGTCAGCTCAGGCAGGCAGGGGGTGAAAAGCCCCAGGGTGCAACATTTCCGCCTTATCTTGTGAGCTGCCATCCCCAACTCCATGCATCTGTTCCCTCCCAGCCCCCAGTGACGCGCGGATCTGGTCCCTGGTCCAGGCAGCGCGACGGCGCAGGAGACGTGCTCACACACGGCGCAGCCCCGCGGGGCACTGCAGGGACCGGCCGAGTCCCGGCTGCAGCC